AAAAAGTTAAACTAGTGTTCCTTCACTGACACAAATGGGGTCTATTAACTTCAACAGTAGCAGACTCACATGGCTAAGTGGAAAATGTACTCCTTCAATATATCACCCCAATGACACCGCCAGACATCTTTTAATATGAACACTAACATTATTCCTGATTTCCTAAAGTTGAGTTTCATATTGTCAGTTTGGGTGATCAGTGTTAATTTATCCACAACAGAAAAATGTTGCTTGATTACTCCTAAATCATTAGGATGTTCATTTGGTTATCTCCTAATACATCTGGCTTAGAACTGGTGATCATTATGGACCAAGAGGGCATTGGATCACATGAGCCCAGCTGAAGGAACTCATGGTATAATATTTAGGAAGAGTCAAACATTCAGGGGTTGTGCCTGAGATTTGATTAACCCCTATAGATGAGATCAATTGAACAAAGACTTAGCAATTGTTTACATTGCCCGTAGGAACTTCTAGTAGCATTTTCTGCATGTCAAATAGGAATAATAATTTAATATTTTCTAGTTAAACAATTTATTTCAAATTTTACAACAGGAATATGCTGAAAGCAGTTGAAGGAAAAATGTAGTAACAGCTGTCATTGGTAATTTCTTTTAAAAGTGCTAGTTATCCATTTTCTTTCCATCCAATGACTATAGTGTTTTCTGAGTCACTAGTATGCATCCAGAATGCAAATCAGAAATTCTGATTTCACTCTGATTTTACTTTCTACATACTTGTTTTAGGTCAGAGATACAAAAAGTGCTAACATACATATCTAGTCAAAACATATTTTTCTAGTAAGTAACAGAAAATAAAAAGAATGCCTCCCAAAGAAACATAGACAGTAAAAAAGTAAATTGACTGGTAATTTACTATTACTTACTCAGTCCAGAACACAAAAAAGTTTGGCTAGAGACACATGTTAAAGACAAACTCCAGCTAGCTTCTACCTAATATTATCGCTTGCAGTGGGGCTACTACCATACTGCAAGAATTATCTGCTCAATTAGGGGGCAGAAAAAAAAATGACTTACATTTTTCTCCACTCCTCTGTGCTCCCTCTGTGCTGTCTCGTCCCCCATGTTGCTTCAATCTAAGGTCCTGACATCATCAAGACCAGTGCACAGTTCATAGCCCTGCAATGGATGTGGGGATGTTGAAGGACAGTCCGCTACCAGAGCATGAGGGAGTGCTGTCTGCTGGGGGAGCAGAGACTGGGCAAGTAAACCAGATTTTAATTTCCCATAGACTAAAAGACCAGTTAACCATTGCAATGTGGGTGCAGTCCCACTGCAATGGAGAACTTTCAAGTTTATGGAGTTGGGCTTTAAAGAAGGGCAGACAAGCAACTAGTTGCTTAAGAATATGATCAGCATTGGCAGCGTACATATATTTTTATTGTGGCAAAGTTATAGGATATTGGAGGATTGCCTTCTACTCCTACATATAGAAGTGTGTATCATCAGATACTTTGGGGGTGGTAATAGGGTAGCACGTAGTGATGTGTATATTGCAGAAATTAAGTGGAGTTGAAAGAGACCCTGAGCACACACAGCTTCAAACTCAGTAGGTCTATCTAATGTCAATAAAGACAGTATAGAATTGAAGTTGTATTTATGCTTTAAGAATAGGGACAGAAGAAAAGAGACAGGAGGTGTCCATCTGAGTGTAGTAAACTGTAGGGACTGGAGATGCAAAAGCAGGATTGTAGGGAAGTTAAGAGGAAGATTTCCCATTTTCATGGAATTAATCTCATATCCAGATAGTCTACTGAAAATGCTCAACAAATTATGTAAATTTGGGACAGAAGTAGGTGGGTCGGTTAGCGTTAGCAATATGTCATCCGCAATATTTGTGTTCTTTATATTTTAACCTAACCCCATGGATGTTAACTTTAGCACGAATAGCCTCAGCAAGGGGTTCAACCCAAATAATAAGAAGGGTAAGGGACATTTCCTGGTCCTGTTAAACATATAGAAAGTGGGAGATGTAGTGTGAAGACGTTTAATTTGAAAGGTAGGGTGGGAATATAACACCCAAATTGCCTTTAGAAAAGGACCTTCAAAGCCAAAATAATGTAAAACAGAAAACATATAGGACAATCAAATGCCTTCTTGGCATCTAAACTCAGTAGCAAAGTGATGATATTATCTTTATTAACCACCTTAATGAAATCAATGGTTTTTATAGTATCGCCACCTGCTTGTCTAGTCAGAATTAATTTCACTTGGTTCCTAATAATTATCCATGCTACTAATTGTGATAGGCTATTCACCAAAATGTTTGTAAAAATGTTATAATCTGAGTTTAATAAAGCCATTATTCAATGGTTAGCTGGAGAGGAGTGTGCTTCCCTGGCTTTGGAACTACCATAAAATCAACATAGAGAAACTGGGTGTGAGGTTCTCCCTCTACTATAAGAGAGCTATAGAAGCCCAATAGGTGTGGAGCTATAGGCAGTAATTGTTTGTAATATGCATAGGGAAGATCATTGGGTCATGGGGACCTATGTAAATGTAGTTGTTTAACAACCTCCAAAAGTTCCTCCATTGTAATATCTGTATTTAAAATATAAATGTCTGAGAAAGAAAGTTAAGTTAAGGAGTCTTAAGAGCGAACATAAACCGAATAAACTCCTCTGGAAGGAAAAACGGGTGAATTATAAAGCCTGCTATACTAGCCTCCAAACACTTTAGCTATGAACTAAGGACAATATGTGGGTTTACCATCGAACTGGAATAGAAAATCCGGGGTGTAATTAAAAGGTAATTTCCTAGGTTTATTGGCTAATATTCTATGTGGTTTATTAGAAAATGCATAACACTTCTGTCAAGTGCATAGCAAAAACTTCTTCACGTTAGTCATATCAATGTCTTTGATGTGGTTTAGTTTCATAACAACGTTGTGTACCAGAGATACCATGGGAGCTTGAATCAGTCGTGTTTCTGCTTTAGGAAGATGAGTCATTAAATATAATTTAGTAGGTTGAGCATCGCCTTTCAAGTGGGAGCTAACTGAAATAGCTTTACCAGCTTTCCACAATGTAGAGATCTCAGATCTTGTTGGGAAACAAGTTGGGAAAATGCTCTGTGGGCTGCTGACAATTGATTGTGAACGTCTGAACATTTGTAAAGGGATTCATTTAATCTTCATTGACAAATTTTGGTGTGAGTGTCCGTCTGAACTTAGTCTAAAATAAAAGAGACATGACTTGACCATGTAATAGCATCAATCTCAGAGCTAACTGCCAATTTTAGCAAAGTGTTGTAAACCAAGAAATGATCTAGTCTAGAGTATACTTTAAAATAAATATACAGACACTTTCTTGTACCAGCATCTGGCTTTAAGGGAAACTAAGTACAGCTTCATCGTCTGGTCATTGAAGTCCACCCCTCCCATGTTAAGGTTATAGTTGTGGACACAAAGGGGCTTCTCAACAACACCAGTTGCCATGCAAATTTGGACTGTCGTGTCTGAGTGAATGGAAGACAGGACAAAAACATCTCGTTTGTCCTTCCACTTCTCTGCAAGCAATTCATTTCTCAAGAAGGCTTTCTTCCCCCTTTTTAAGTCGAGTATTTACAAGCCGTTGGAGGAATCCCCAGCAATTAGGTCACACGGTGCCACATGAACCAATTTCAAGATCAAAACGGTTTCTAAAAAGTGGCACGCTTGTATAAAAATTGTCCACATATAAGTGATACCCCATAAAGAAAAAAGGGTGACACCAAGTCCCAAACTATCTTGCCATTGCTCTCCATGTAGTCTGGGCATTCGGGGGGTCCATATGACTATCTTTTCCCTCGTAAATCCAAAAATTACATGCATAGCCTGTTGCCCTCTCACAGAGCTTATACATTTTATCTCCAGATCTAGCATGCTTGCTAGGGGAAACTATTTGAATGCAAGGCCACAAGAAAAATTAATGAGGGACTCATCAACGCAGATGTTTTGTTGGGGTGTATATACATCTGCAAATTCCTGGTTAAGGTGTTTTACAAGGGGCTGAATTTTGTGGAGCTGATCATATTCAGGATCACCCCGAGGATGACACCACTCCAGCTTGTACTGCATTTATGAGATACGCCACGTCACCAAGTGATACTGCAGTGCTGCTATGTAAAAGACCAGAACTTACTATGCCATTGGTGCTCACCAGTTCACCAAAAGGTAGTGCAGCACTAGTACTGGCACTCTGCTCCAATTCTAATACCTCAGCAACCTGGGCACGGGGTCGGGTACGCCTGATCTTAACAGGGACCTCTTCTACGTCATCTGAGCTATCTGTAGGGGTGCTGCTGCTCTCTACAGGTTCATTTTCTGAGCCTGATTTTGTCAGTGATGCTGTTCTTTGCTCTCATCTGACAGAATCCAGTAGGCCTCTTCACTAGTGTACCTTTACCTGTAAATCATTGGCCTGTATCTGGTGACTGATCGGTGCTGTACTGAATCATAGCACCCATGAGCCGGTATATATACATGATTTTGAGCAGGGAGTCCACCCTGTAGCAGTAAAACTGCTATAAGGTGGTGGCAACTGGTTAATGTACCATTTTTCAGCTCTTTGGTGAACAAACTGCCACATGCTACAGCCAAATATTTAAAATTTAGACTCATCAGTCAGAGCCCCTGCTGCCATTTTTCTGCACCCCAGTTACAATGTTTTCATGCACAGTTGAGTTGCTTAGATTTGTTTCCACATCCTATACATGAAAACATAGGAAAAAGGTGGTCATACCAAATATTGATTTGATCTGGATTTCTCTTTTGTTCGTTTACTTTCCATTTTGTTAATTGATAAAAATAAACTCTTAACACTTCTATTTCTAAATGCATTCTTAATTTACAGCATATTTCACACCTGCCTAAAACTTTTTCACAGTACTGTGTAGATACACTATATTTCCAAAGGTATTGGGACACCCCTCCAAATCATTGAATTCAGGTGTTCCAATCACAATCCATTACCACAGGTGTATAAAATCAAGCACCTAGGCATGCAGATTGCTTCTACAAACATTTGTGAAAGAATGGGTCACTCTCAGGAGCTCAGTGAATTCAAATGTGGTACCATGATAGGTTGCCACCTGTGCAATAAGTCCATCCGTGAAATTTCCTTGCTAGTAAATATTTCACGGTCAACTGTTAGTGGTATTGTATCAAAGTGGAAGCAACTGGGAACAAAAGCAACTCAGCCATGAATTGGTATGGCCAGGTAAAATGACAGAGCGGGGTCAGCGCATGCTGAAATGCACAGTGCGCAGAAGTTGCTGACTCAATAGCTAAAGACCTCAAAACTTCATGTGACCTTCATATTAGCACACAAACAGAGTGTAGAGAGCTTCATGGAATGGGTCAAAACCTTAACACCTTCTCAAAATTGTAAGAAATAATTGCATTCCCAGTTTGTGATTCTCCTGTAATTTGTAATTAAACTCACCTGAATCAGTTAACAGATCTTAATGGTCCTGTGTCCACTGTGTGCAACATTGTCAAGATGTTTACAGCCCATGGCACTATAGCTAATCTCCCTGGACGTTGATGAAAGAGAAAAAACTTGATCAAAGTCTGCAACAAAGGATTGCTCGAATAGTGAATAAAGAACCTCGATCAACTTCCAGGCAAGTTCAAGCTGACCTTCAGCCACCAGGTACTGTCAATACTAGCTACCCACTCCCCCCAAAAAAGTGGGGCAGTGTAGGAGGGGGATGGTGCAAACAAGCAAAGCTTCTCCTTTTGGGTGGAGCTCTGCTTTAAAGGTGCTGTGGGCTGGAGCTGTTCAGTGAGAACAGTGCTGAAATCCTATCTCCTCTTTATTTGCTCAAAATCATTAGACACATACACTTCACCAGTGACACCGGCTGCACTCTGGACTGCAATGAGGCACATCAGCTGCACAGGTAACCAGACTTAACTAACTTGTATATGTGTGTCTTGTTTAAACTGCTCTGGTTGTTCAGTTTTAACAGCTATGAAGCAATCTTACTTCTAATTTTAAGTTAAAGCATGCAAATAAATACATAATCTTGGTATGATTCATCTTTTGAACTGTTCAGAATAAAGACAGTGCACATGTACAGGTACACTCTGCACTGCATATTTTCCTCCACCTGATAATGGAATAATGAAAAGGCATATTTAGAACACCACACACTGATATTTTAAGCTATGTAAATAAAGGTCAGAAACAAAGCTATTATCCCTCAGCTAAATATAAGAAAAGATAAGCACTTAAAGGGATAGCAAATGTTTGTACTTACATTTTTAAAAGACAGCTAAGGCAAATTCACATAACTAGTAATTTCTCATAAAACTGTTTGCTTGATTTGAATACATTTATTATAGACAGAAGTGATCATTTTAAATATTTTTTAAATGTTAATATTTATAGATCAGTCATTAAATAGATATGTTCATAATTATACTTGTATGTTCAATATACATAAATAAGGCTTAGAAAAGTTGTATTTTCTTTACAATTACATTTTCTATTAGTAGTTTTTCTGTTTTATATGTAATTCAGCAGTTATACATTCATTTGTTATATATGATACTGACCTCCATTAATGGGGAATACTAAAAGTAAAGACAATTTTACTGCTATTCTTACAGGCTTTAAATCTGCACACAAAACCTTAACACAATTTTTGTATGACTGTATCCATGTGTAAGCACTGTATTTTAATTTCACTATAGCAATTGCCACTTAATAATAAAATGGTGCATAGGATTGCTAGCACTGGAGGGGATTTCACATGCAGAGGTATAATGGGCTACATGTACCTGGATTTCATTTGGGGTGCATTCGGTCAACTTTACCTTAGCTCACATGCTGAATCCAAACCCCAATAAAATCAGTAATTACTATTTTCTACACTAATAAGCAAGTTTTTTCTTAAGGGTATGGGGCTGGGCACAGCTCTGGAGGACATGTACCAAAGCAACAATGTTTTTTTTTTTTAATTTGTCAGGGAGCAGCGATTTTAATAATGCTCAAATTGAAGTATTCAAATTTCTTTAAATAATATGCTTAGGGGATGCCCTGAACCTGCCTATGAAGTGACATATCTGTACAATGTATACAACTTACTACAGCAAAACTGATATTTACAAAGAAAAAATGCAGTTTACATTGCTGGTAAATGACAGCTCCTGGCAGCTTCCTTCTGTTTATAAAAAAAAATGGCTGGCTATTCCCCATATCTTTACCAGACGCTTATTCAAGATGAGGGTCTGGTATAAATGTTAAAGAGACCCATGCAAAAGAATACACAGACCTTAATCCTTGATAAGAGTCTGATATGGATGTCAAGGGGGGTCCCACACAAAAAAATGCACAGGGTCCCCTCAATTTCTATACCTGATCCTTCAGGTTTGGTATGGATTTTAAAGGGGAACCCATACAAATAAAAGTGTATTCTTCCCCCAAAATTCATACCAGACCCTGATTTGAGCAAACAGCCTGGCGGGTTGGGACAAGTGTGTGCTCCTCCCTGCTTAACCATACCAGGCCACATGCTCCCAACAATAGGAGCATACCTTGCCTGGGGTCACCCATGTTGATGAAGACAAGAGCCTTTTCCCCCATTCCTAGTTCAGTGGAGGGATTATTGGAATCTGTAAGCCTCCTGTAAAATAAGGGGTCCCCATATATCCATCCCCCACCTCATGTGAATGATTAAGGGGTATCTCTACTAATTCACAAAAATGTAAAGCAAATAAACACATTGACAAACCTTGACAAGTCCTTTATTTAAAAAAAAACCTCCCTATTCATCAATAACATAATCCAGTAATGTAAATGTACGTCAGTCATTATGGATGATGCCCACCTACCCACAAGAAAATACACGTGACCATCAATACAATCTGCTTTTGATGGTTGCTCACCAGAAAAGTTGAATGAAAACTAAGAGGCGGTGTATAACCAGTAATTTTCATTAACCAAATATGTACATGATCATATCTGGTCAATTATGTCACCTGGGATCCCTGTGACATGACTGACAATATATGACCAATGACATCACATGGCAAACTCCATCTCTTTGTTTACATTCCATTGCAGGGCACAGGACCTGTCAATCATGAGGAGCATTCATCATGATAGGACATGTTGGCAGATCAGCATGTTTTTTTCCTTCATAGGGTTGGTGGACACTGTTCATCATGATTAACAATATTCTGCATCACTGGATGGCATGATTTATGACAGAATTACACTATGGAATTTTTTTTTATAAAAGACCTGACAAACGTTCTGGTGTCTTTACTTTTTTATTTGAATGAGTAGGAGTTCTATGCACTCCTCACTTATTTTAATGGGGGCAGATATCTGGTGGTTTCCTTATTTTAAAAGGGGCTTCCAGATTCTGATAAGCCTCCTGCCTGCAGATCCCCACAACCTGCCCAGTTGAGGGCATGTGGCCTGGTATGACTCATCCCTCTCTTTTTCTGACCAGTTTTAAGCACAGATAAGGGTCCGGTGTGTATACCTTTATTCTAGTTTTTTGCATGTGGTTCCCTCTTAGAAATCAGGGCTGGATCTAGTCTGTCTTATGTGGGGGTGCAGTAAAAAATGTCAGGTGGGTGGAGGATGGGAGGTCATCAGGACAGTGTACAGGGTGTAAGCAGAGCAAAGGATAGGGTCAGCAGTTTGCAGGGCAGTGTACAGAGGCTATTAGTTTGTAGAACAGTGTACAGGGGTCAGCAGGATGGTGGACAGGGTCAGTAGTAGATGAGACAAAGTTCAGAGGTCAGTAGTAAATGATGCAGAGGACAGATTTTGTCTAACAGTGGGAGGGGCTTAGGAGGGATGATTAAACAGAATCTGTGCCTAGTCACTGTATGCACTGCACGATCAGTCCTTGTACCCAGAAAATACTCCTACTTACTATGTTACAAGTCGCAGTCTCACAGATACATATAAACTTCAGAACAAAGGATTATTTTTAAATATTTAACTGTTTCCTTCACATATGCATTTCTGCACAAAAAAGTGATCGCCTGGTCTGTCTGAGTCTGCTATTAAGACTCAGATCCCCAGTGTCACCCACTCTCACATCAGGGTCCCCAGAGCACCCCCTCCTTACATCAGAGTCCCCAGAGTAATCCCTCTTGCATCAGGGTTCCCTAGAGCCCCCTTAAACACCAGGGTCCCAAAAGTCAGGGACCCCAGAGCACCCCCCTTTATGTGAGGGTCCCCAGAGTTTCCATAGTTACATCAGGTCCCCAGAGATCCCCCTTTAACATCACAGTCTCTCGGATTCCCCAACTCACATGAGGACTTACATTTAAGGTGTAACATGTACCATGTTACTAACTGAGCACCCCCTGTCTGTATTACAAACTGCTGTTTGGCAAAACAAAACACAAAGGCATTCAGGATGTGTCAGGATTGCCTCCTATATGCCTGGCCTTGGCTGCTTAACCACAGTCTAAAAATGAATCCACCATGGATTGCTTTTCAGAGCACTAGCTAATATGAACCTAGCCTAATACCAGTCACTGTTGTGCCAACTATATTGCTGTCCTTTTAATAGGGTGACAATAAGTTGACACCTATGCAGCATAGGTGTAAGGTTCCTTTCACCCTGTTAAAAGGACAGCAATATAGGTGGCATTACAGTGACTGGTATTAAAGGGAGGGAAAAGCTAAGTACTGCACAGGCAGTTCTAAAAGTTCTAGAATTAACCTATTAATTACTCTCTCTTCCTCCTGCTCCTGCTTCTCACTCACCTCAATCACTACAAGAACTTTGCAGAACCAATCCATCCACCAAGCCGTGGGATGAAGACTTTGTTGCAATGATGGACAGCACACCCCGTGTACCCATTGGCTGAAGAGGCAGTGAGGCATAGCCCACCCCAACACCCCCCTAGATCCGGCCATGTTACAAATCATACTAGATCTGATGGATCTATTATGGAATTTATGGGATCCTACAATTTTTTCTGTGGGGTCCCCCTTAAAATATATACCAGAACTTAAGGGTCTGGCATCATTTTTTTGGGTGGGTGGGGGGCGGGCAACTTTTTTTAAAGGAATGGTGGGGTCAGCCACCATTTCTGCCCATTTTTTAAATTCAGCTGTTATAAGACTGATAGCTCACTAACAATCTGCCTCACATTTATCAGAGGTGGTACTACTAATACTACTACTAAATATATTACTTCCTGCTGCAGTTGGAGGATTGACTCAGGCCCAAACATCATTTTAGTATGACTGTTCACTGAATTCCAAATGTAAAAGTCAGACTGAACATGGGTTTGGTCCAGACCCGACGCTCATCTCTAATGCAAAAAATGTCAAAGATCGGTAACAAGAAGAACATTTTTGCTTTGGTTAACAATAGA